TTTTGGAGGTATACTCCATATGCAAGAACTACTGGATTTTACTACATAAAAATGGAAACTTACCAATTTCGGGACTTACGGACGTACGGATGTACGGACGTATAGATGTACAGACGGACAAGGGTAAAACTTAATGCCCCCTCCACTACGGCGGGGGCATATAGTGGAGGGGGCATAAAAACCGAGTATCTTGATGGGGGTCTGTTTCAGATTAGTTTTTACAAAGTATAAATCGTCCTTTCCTTAAACAAAGTATTCGTTTTTACATCGACCTTTCGTTTTTATTTCTCTTGTCAATGTATTTTATGTAAATAGTTATCAAAGGTACCAGGATTATAATTTAATACGCCAGATGCGCGTTTCGTCTACATAAGACTCATCAGTGATGCTCAGATCAAAACATAATTTATGACTAAAATATCTTTTTTTTGTTAATCTTGTATTGCTAATCACTTTTTTCTATTCGCAGTTTCTCTCTGTCTTCTATAGTGTTTGTCCAAAACACAAAAATGGTAAAAATCGCCATTTAACGGCAATAAGTTTTATAAGAAGTGAAGTAACCATTTCGGCTTTGTTGATCTATTTGAATATTTTGTCTTGTGCTAATTTTTGCTGTGTTCAGTTACTCTTTATCTACTACAGGTATAGTTTTTGTTGACTCATTTGTAGATCTTGTCTTTGCTTGTCATTTCTGTTGTTTACAGTTTTTATTTTTTATACAGTTTTTTTTTTATTAAAGGTCAATACTCCTATTAAGAGTTGAGTCAACTGTTAATTTCGGCAATGTTGATATATTTGCAGATCATGTCTTGCTTATTACAATTTCTATTTATCTACTAGTTATGGCCACATTTGCAAAAAAAATGGTAAAAACCATGAATGGGCAGTTACTCCTAAAACGAGTCGACTGGCGAATTCGGCCATGTTGACATATTTGTAAATATTGTACTATTTATCATGACAATTTAGGAATAAATGAATTATAGATAGATTTCAACATTATGATTATTTTTGCCTATCAGATTTCCTTTATCTATTGCGGTTTTGAAGATAATCGACAAAACTTGCATTTTGCCCCATTGTTCTATTTTGAGCCATGTCTCCAAAGTTGGTTGGATGGAAAGATAATCGGAATCATCCTTTTACCTGTATACCTCAATGATGATTGTGGGCATGTTTGGTTCCAATTGGCCTAGTAGTTTCAGAGAAGATTTTGGTCCGGAAAAGCTCACGTGATCCTTTTAGTCAGGTGAGCTAAAAATGTGGAAAAATCAGTTTGGATGACTTGATCTTTTTAATTTAGTTCATCTTTGTCACTAAACAGCATCACTCTATTTCAGAATCCTTATCGAAAGAAGTTTAGTGTTTTAGACCATTCTGTTTTCAGTGCCTTATTATTGTGACATTTGGATCCAAAAATTGACAATCTTGAGTGCACATGAACAGGCTGAAATGTCTCGTCTGCTTAACTTATCATGATTGAATTACGTATCATACGCCAAATAGCCTATTGCTTATAGTATATGAGAAACAGATGCTTACATCCACTTTATTTGATATTTTGTGGATAGTTGTCTCATTTGAAATCATACCACATCTCCTTATTTTTATACTTATTACGAAAATTGAACATTGACCAATGAACCATCAAATTAAGGTCAAGGTTAAATAAACCCTGTCAGAAAGACATGAACACCATGCACTTATTCCATACACAGAACACAGTTGACCTATGGCTTATGTATCAGATAACAGATAAAACTATGAAAACTTAACATTGACCAATGATCCCTGAAAATGAAATTGACCAATGAACCCTGAAAATGAAGTCATGGTCATCTGAAATCTAATTGACAGACGTGTACATCTTACAATCATCCCAATCACCTAACAAAGTGGACCTATTGCTTATATAGTATCCGAGAAATAGACTAAACCTGAAAAATAAACATTGATCAATAAACCATGAAAATGAGGTCAAGGTCAGGTGAACCCTGTCTGACAGACATGTAGACCTTGCAAGGAACCAATATACAAACTATAGTCATCTTACTCATAATTAGTGAGTACACATCTGAGAAAAAACTATGTATTTTTTTTCAAGCAGTTGCTGAACCATTAATAAGGTCGACCGTCCAGGACAATGTACATATGACAGATAGAAACTTCGTAATAGAAGTCATCTGCATACAAGGTATGAAGCATCCAGGTCTACTACCTTCTGAAATATAAAACTTTATACCAGGTTAGGGGATGAGTTTGACACCTGCAAACATGTTTAAACCTACCACATGTGCGCCTGTTCCAAAGTCAGGAGCCTCTAATTGAGTGTTTGTCATTTGTTGCTGTTTATCATATTTTTTTTTTCATTTAGCCTTTTCTGGTTTTGTGCCGTTGTACCATTGTCTCAGGATGGGGAGGGTTGGGTGCCAGCTAACATGTTCAACCCTGTAACATTCTGTGTGTGCCTGTCCCCAAAACAGGAGCCTGTAACTCAGTGGTCTTTTGTTGCTGTATATCACGTTTTTCATTTATTGTTTTGTACATAATTCAGGCCATCAGTTTTCTCATTTGAATTGTTTTACATTTGTCATTTAAGGGCCTTTTGTAGCTTGCTATGCGGTAGGAATTTTACTCATTGTTGAAGGCCGGTTGTTGACCTATAGTTGCTTAATTCTACGTCATTTGGTCTCTGGTGGAGAGTTGTCTCATTGGCAATCATGCCACAACTTTTTATTTCTATGTTATACAAATAGTTTACATGGTCGCTGCCGCATATCATATTTGTTTTTCATTTATTGTTTTGTACATAATTCAGGCCATCAGTTTTCTCATTTGAATTGTTTTACATTTGTCATTTAAGGGCCTTTTGTAGCTTGCTATGCGGTAGGAATTTTACTCATTGTTGAAGGCCGGTTGTTGACCTATAGTTGCTTAATTCTACGTTATTTGGTCTCTGGTGGAGAGTTGTCTCATTGGCAATCATGCCACAACTTTTTATTTCTATGTTATACAAATAGTTTACATGGTCGCTGCCGCCAGATTGTAATTGATTTCTGCCATTTTTGTCGCAGGGAGAACAAAAATTAACCTGTTTCATGGGCCTTTAATCTTTCTAGAAGTCCAAGGTGTGAATAATTTTAGATTATGTTTCCTTCTCATTGTGCCTTGTCTGTCTTGTATCAGTTTTTGGTCAAGGTAGTTTACAATAAATTGTAGTGAAATCAATTTGAACTTTACACTTTTAGTATGTAGTGAATTGAAGGACAATCTATATATATGGTGTGAACTTTTGCTCCATGTTGAAGGCCTCACTTGGACTTTTAGACATAATAAATATGCTAAAAAAATACTTTACAAGTTTCCAAGTCTGGAAAAATGGGTAAAATTCCATAATTAAAGGTGCAAAACTTCCAATATATGTGTCAATCTTTCTCTGAAGTTTTCAGGAAATAGTAAAATGCGCCCAACATCACCATACTGCAAGCTGGTTTTATACCTGCAACCCAGCCAATAAGCATTTAACAAAAATTATGATTCCATTGTGACTGCTACTTAATTGACTGTCAAAGAATAAATTTGTCTTTTAAAATGTTGACCATTTAAAACCAAAATAAATGCAAACATTGTCACTCATCATTCTTAGTTCTTTTTACTGGTCATAATTGTAAAAAAAGATATTTCAAAAGAATTTTCCATATTTTATTAAGCAAATATCACAATATGCTATAAAGTGTATGTATAAACATTGAGCAAGAGATAACAAATAAAGATGTCTTGAAAGCAATAACAAGATTCACACAAAGATATATGTTTCTTAGAAAATAAACATCCAAGTTCTGTTGAAAAGCATTTTTTAAAACACACACTTTTAATACAATTCCAAATCAGAATATTAACAAACGAGGAAAATGTTCTTATATTAGTTCAAATTTCAAAATTTTACAGAGAATATGAATTTAAATTCAATATCGGACCTTAATGAAAATTGAATAGAAATAATCATCCAAATGACCTCAAAATAAATGAAATCTTTAGTCTTTTAGATTTTCTGAAATACCTCTTTTTGCAACAAATTAATCAATAGTAAATGTTAAATCCAGTGTGGAAATGAAATAGAGATTCTTTAATAATACTGTCATATTCCTACCCATCAACAATAATGATTTTTTCAGCAGAAATACCTTGGTAACATATAATCATACAATAAGCATATAAGACATATAAAAATACTCAGTGCACAGTATAACAACATTACATGAGTAAAACAATTATTGCATCAAACATTCATAATACTGATGATAATAAAATAAAACTCTGATTAAAAACTTAAGTGCAACAATAGAAAAAGAATCCTTAAACCACATGTCTCATTTGATTTTTGAAAGAATTTAAGAAATTATGGCCTAGGTGTAATATAACGAATTTGTTGTAGATCATAAAAAGTGACTGGATGTCCCTTTCCAGTCAATGGTGTACACTGTCCTATTCCATTCAGCTCACTCTTTAAACCATACCAAGAACTAGCTACAACAGGACCATTTCTACTGTGATCATATTGTTTTCTATCTCTTGCTGTTCCTAACCAGTTGTAAGTGCTCCTAGAATTTAGATTTCACAATGAATAATAACCCTTATTACAATCTGTATGGACACTGAGATAATTATTTTTCTTGTTTTTCCCACTGTCTTGTTTTCTTTTATTTTTTTACGAGAGAGAAACATGACTTTAACATAAAACTAAAAGATATTTCATGGAGAAGTTATATATATAGCTCTAACAAAAACCCAAAACAAACAATGACTGCTTAAAAACTAATTCTCAAAATATAATAGTATTGGTTCCATTTATATCCTTAATTATAGTCTCGGTCAATGAAAACTAATGTTGGTATGCTTATTAAAAGTCTATTAGATATAAATGTAGCTGAACACATGATATTATATAGTAAGTAGCAATATTTCTCTCTCAAAATACATCATTTGATATGAAACACATCAAACTTTCAGGTGTGGTTTTCTAGGAGGTAGTTCAGTATGTTTTGGTGGACGTTCCTTAGGATGGATGAGGGGATAAACTTTATCTTCTGGATTGTTGTCAATTCTCCTATGATATATTCTTTGGACTCCGCCATTTATTGATCTGCAAGTGAAATAAGTTTTATTTCTATAAATTCACCACCCACTAACCATGCATCTAAGGGAGATAATTGAACTACTCTAAATGCTACCAAAATCCAATGGAACAGGTACAGTCAGCAGTGTCAACAATTGTGAAAGGGACATCCAAAAACGTATAGCAAAATTACACTGTATGCATAAGCATTAATTCTTTAGAAATTAGAAGTACATTAATACTGAAATGGTAAAATTGACTAGGAAAGATACTTACATTTATGTAAAATAAAGATATATAAAAGCAGATGGTTCAAAAATAAAAAGAATACAAGTTATAACAGCCAACAAGTATATTGTTTTACTCATAAATCACATTATATAAATAACAAAATTTCTTAACTAGGAACAATGAGAAAGGCAAGACTTTTACTGAACAACTTATTTCTGTTGAACTTTAAAAATTAATATTTTCTATTCTAGTCATTATTTTACATGATTCTCCTACTTAGCACCATGCAGTTATATTAGAATTGTAAATTTTAATAAATGAATAATGTATCAATGCATAACAAATTTAATTGACATACAATAGTGTTTAGGGATACCACTGAACTGAAAAAGTGAAAAAAGTCAAACTAAAACTTGACAATCTGTGAAAGTTATGACAGGTGCTAAATATACATTAAATATCCCCCTTTTTTCCCTTGAAAAAAATAAGACAAATCTTTTATTAACTGATCTTAAATATAGTTACATAATTGTACAGATAAATGCATTAGTGAAAGTCATATGGATGTAATATTTTAAAGACGTTATCTCTATCAATATTCCGTATAGAATCTGGTAAAGGTTTAGGAGTTTTCAATTGATGTTTCCTTGCTGGTTTATTCGCCTTGGTCATGTAATCATTTGGTTGTAAGACTTCTCTGAAAAAATCAGGTTGTTGTGGTTATTGGTCTTTTAAAAACTACATCCCACACCACAAAAACTACAATACAGGTATTTATACAAGATCTAGTCCACTGATTCTGTTACACGATTTTTAGGGAATTCACCATTGACAGTTTTTACAATGTCATATTTATCAGACATGAGGTTAATCCTACGATTGTTCCTATTATCATCACTTGTGTATGTTGTATTTTCTTTGAATGGATAAATAACTTTGTATGCCAAATCACAGTGAGGTGCATAATTTACACGATTGCGATAACGAATATTAAAACCATCCTCATGAAGTCTGAATTTCTTAATATTTGTCCTGAAATTTCCAAATTGCACAATTATACATTTTTCAAAGGGTGCAAGCTATACTTCTAGTTAAGAAAATGTTAAGTAAAAGGTTAAATTTAAAGTGTAAATTAATACTGATATTCGTAAAAAACAAGAGCCAGCATTTTGATTAGTAACATTATAAGTGGACTAGATCTTGTAGCAGTTAGAAATTTAGTAATCACTAAACTTTACCAGTAGAAAGAAAATATCAATGAATTAAAGACTTGTAACTAAACTTTATATATATTTATTACAACCAACACCTATTCGTACCAAACACCATGCCCGAATACTTCTTTTAAACTCTCATACAATGGACATGATATGGGCTAAGAAACACCAGCCCCTCCCTTCAATCTTCCCTACTGGCATCTTCATTTTTGCTAGTAATATTCTACTTCAAGATGCACAAGGACCATACTTAATTATCTCAGATATTGTCAGATATTAACTTCTGAATTTACATTTCATGACAAATTGACCTACACCATTTCTTCACTGACTGTCATGATTAAAGAAGAAAGATCTTATAATATTCTAAGTTAGGTAAGTTACAGATGATCAGATCTTTCAAAAATTGATTAAAATTATATAACAATTTTAAATAATTAGATCAACATTGAGTTTAAAAGAAGTTTTACCAAAGATCCAATATTCAACCCCATGAAAAGCAAAATGATGAGCATAAAACAAAATTATGAATGTCACATGGTTACCCCACCAGTGTATTTTTTTTAAAACAGTGTATGATACGAAACATTTTAGATCACCTCAAGAGATGTTCTTCTTTCTTTCTTACTTGTCTTGTGATTCTTAATTCATAAAAAGAAAATGTATGTAAAACATCAATTTTGAAAGTTTTTTAGACAGCATACTTTTCCCCTTTAAGATTCTAACAAAAAAGGAAAAGAAAAACACTAACTGGAAGGAGAACATAATGAAAGATTTAGTAATGTTTCTAGTGTAGAGAGTATAAAGTTAACTTTTGTAATTGTAAGCTAATAAACAAAAGAATAACTAAAACAGTTATATATCATATAATCATTGTTTCTAAGAATGGAATGTTTTTTTGTTGTTCATTATTTGCACAAGCAGCTGTATATTAGCTGGACAGCAAAGCAAAAAAAAAAAAAAAAATATCTAGGAATTATGTCAAACAACTACTTGGCATGCTGTGAAGTCCAAGATGAATCCAGGATAAATATGTTAACATAATGTGAAGCATATCAATTATCTTTTGGCTGTTGTATTTGAAATTTTATAATTCTCTTGAAAATTTTGAAAATAATACTGGACTCATTTATCCAGAACCTGAATTCACTTCTTGTCCACCTATACATACATACATACACACACAGAAATATATAACTTGCAGACTTAAAACAATGTAGTTTGTGTTTGGATATTGTGTGCAAATCAATTTAATAGCCATGACAATCGTAGTGTTTGTGGACAATTACATATAGCAAGCAAGGTATTATGGTATAATCATTGTAGATTATTTATGAAACTTTCTGAAACAGATAATTTCAATAAGAGCTTTCAGTATAAATGCAAAACAAGCAAATATTTCCCATTCCACTGAAATTTTTTGAGAAAAAAAATGTTATATTTAAAATGTACATGAATGCAAAATGATCAACGTACATTTGTAACAACAGCTCCAGGATACATAATACGATAAATTGGGTCAACGTGCAGTGGAGGATTCCCCTGATCTGCCATAAGTCTATAAACAAAATTGGGGTCATGAACCACTTCCTTGAAAACCACACCCTCTTGATATTTGAATGGTTCTTTCACCATTGTATGCTCTCTAAAAATGATAACAAATAAAATATAATTATGTAACTTGAGACATGAAAGTCCTCATAGCAAGAAATGTTTTATTCAAATCAATCAGTCTGACAGTTAAGGTAGACTGAAAGTGAGGATTTGATCAGTGATTAATATTCTCATTTTGTATAACATGAAATCATGATGCCTGATAAATTTTTTCAATAAATTTCATTCACGAATGCTGCAGTAATGAGAAGTTATCAAATGTGTATGCTTCCATTTCTATTTTGCCATAATGAAAACTATGATACACAGAAGTGATCAAAATATTTTATGTTTCCATTTCTAGTTTTCTTTTCTAAAGGCTTTTATTTTTTAGTTAAAATTTTGACATCTGTCTGGAAGTTTCCTATATATTGACATGGAAACATTTTCTTCCTATAATATCTATGTAAAAAAGAACGCCTTTTATTATTGCAAATAAGTGTGATTACAAATCACTTGAGTATTTTGATAAGATCACATCTTGATTAAATTGTCTTCAATGGCAGATTGACGAGGTCAAAACCACTCCTCTGTTTAGAAAATAAACAAGAGTGCACACACTAAAATATGCAACCAGGTTAACTAATAATGATTGAATTGGGTCCAACAAGGACAAATTCAAAGAATAAGGTTTCAATGATCCATGAAAATAAGTGAGAGTCAGATGAACACTGTCAAACTGACATGTAGTTGACCTATTACTATGTGCTATTGGAAAATAGATCTAATCATGAAAAATATTGTTGCTTAAGAAACCATGGATATATAGTCAAGGTCAGATATTTGGAAACAGGCTTAATCATAAAAACATTGACCACTGAAACATGAAATGAGGTCAAGGTCAGGTGAATACTGTCTGACTGACATGCCTAACTTGCAATGATTCTATATTCAACATTTTTTCATTAATACACCTACTAGTAACCAGAAAATAACATTTGAACAATGAAAAAATGTCATTAACATGTGCATACTGTACCAGTCCTGGAAGCAACATTTTAACAATGTAAAAATGGCAAGGTCGCAAAAGCATGATTGAAAGGCAATGCCTCCAACATATATAAGCAGTTCAGAGGTGGGGATGCTAATGCAGCTGTATACAAAATATCAATAATCTATCATAGGTACTTATTTGTATATGGCCATAGTCAGAAAACATAACATTTTTTAGTTCACATGAATTCCAAAACTGGAAAAGTAACACCCATGTCCTGCTCCATAAGATATGTTGCAGACAAGACAAAAACTGATTATTGATAGCTGTTACATTATTGAAAGTGAAGTCAATAGGTCAATTACTTATTGTTTTTATAATATTGCAGGGAGATTTTGATGCTTAAATAAAACAAATTAATTCTTTAGCATGCAAACAGAAAATATGCAAGAAGATGCATTGCAGGCATACATTTGTAATACAAACCTCTAGCCACATTTCATTTGTACAATATCAACAAATTCAAGAGATTTTGTAAGCAAGCACATACAATTGTTTGTGTTCCCTTAGAGATAACAGTACAGAAAAAAACATACCATAAGTTAACAGATCATTGTGAATGACATACACACTACTCAGTATATGAATATATCTGTCTATCTATTGGTTTAGTTACCTACTTTACTTTGTATTCAAGTTGTTTGGTCCAATCAATCTAAAAAAACTAAAGACGAGTGAAAGATATTTCAAACAGAATGAAAATAGCATTCCGTTCATCTAAAGAGAGTGCACGTGTCTATCACAGTGATTGATTTATAATGGTTTGTGTTTTTCTGTATTGTAGATATTATTCACAATTTAATGATATGTTATGGTGAGTGTTAAAACATAAGGCTTTGTATATTGCACTATTGTACAACGAAAAACTTCAAAGGTAAATTTTTCCAACCTCTTCTCTGAGAATTATATACAGGTACCCGTGTCAAATTTAATGGTCAAAACTTCTGCTGAATTCAATGGAATATTTTCATTAATTTCTTTTAAGGTTCAAAACTCTACTAATTAATTATATCTTTTATGGAATTTTAACTTTCAGAAAGATATAAAAATTACTAACCTGCTTTGTTCAAAATGACCAGGTCCTGAATATAAAACTGTATCTTTCATATCAGCACCTCCATATCCTGGCATTTCATTACTCTGTAATGTTGAATAATAAGATATGCAATCACAATATGGATTAATTTATTCTTACATTATCCAATGCAAACAGTTCCATTTTCACTGCATCAAGTTGACACATCCTGGCTGTACATTTCTATTTTATGAAATAACAGGTCTATGTTATCGCAGAGATACATGTATACACAACATACAATGTATATGTATTATACCACTACCAGAAATTTGTAATTTAAGTAACTTAGTAAAATCTTGTGACATTTATATACATTGTAGTTCCAAACCCCAAAGAAACTGAAACTGCATGTACTACCACAAATTGACTTTTCAAAATTATGCTAAATATCCACTAGGATGACAGTAACAAATGGGACATTTTTATAATCCATGTAATCAAGGATCTTAAGGTAAAGATAAGACAAATATGATTAGTATACATCACCAAATTTACTTTATAGTACAGAAAAACATTTGCACTTGGAAAAGTTTTAAGGCATGGCTGGAATTAAATACACAATAGACGTATTTACACTTGTATGCAAATTTGTCCACCATTACTATAAATCACACAAGTTCCTGAGAAAAAAAAGTGATCGATGCTTGGCATCAGAAGGTTATTTGGAGGCAGATCTAAGGTCATTCAGAGACAAAATTCAGTTAAATACCAAAAGTGTAAATATGTATATATGGGGACATGTAACCGTTCTGTTGAAGGATATGCTGCCATGTTGTAAGTCATACGATTTCCCACAAATTTGTGTAACTGATTATAAAAAAGAATAATGAGGACAAATATTTAAATTTTTGAATTTGTTCTGCTATGTGTACTTAATAAAACGAGTTTAGAGAGCTCTTCTTCAACATAAGATTTTATAGCAAACAAAATTAATTCTCTTGGGAAACTCATCTCAGTTAAATCAGGCAGATTTTTGTATCTGAACAAAGATACTGTACAAAGATCAGTACTACACCGCCCTTGTATATTTGTTGTTAATAGGTATAAGTTATTGTTTTTAATTAAACAATACTTTAAAACGATGTCAAATATAAAATTCCTCACAATAGGACCAACATGGAATACACTTCTGTAACTCAATTACTTTTTTGCCAGAAATTATAAATTGCTGGGATTTTTTTTACAATAAATATTTATATATATTTGAAATCAGCTGTTAATGGGATATCATAGAGTATTTTAAAGGTTTGCTTGACTTCGTTCCTTTTCAAGATAACAGCTGCCTCATATTATGGGGACAAAGTCCCCAATTACAGTAGAAAAATCAATAAAAAAAAAAAAAACAATCTTCTAATGAACTCAAAATCTTTAACCTTTTATTCAGACTTTTTTTAGTTTCCCGCATCTGCGCAGAAATCTCTTTCTTTCTTCAAGTCCTGTTTGTCACGAGACTTTGAGTAAAATAGATATTTATTAGTCTAGTAAAATATAGGAAGAAGCACAATAACAATTTCATATTATATATTCTTTAATATGAAAAAAAAGTTACCTGATGATAGTGTTTCTTTGTTTACATTGAAAATGACATCACAACAAAATTCCCTAACAACAGGACCAATGTCAGAAACATAACCATAATCCTGTTTCTTATTTAACAGATTCTGAAGTTAAAAACTAATGTATACAGACTTCGTCCCCTTTCACAGGTAATGCCTGCCTCATACTAATTATAAATGCATGGTGTGTTACAGAAAAAATAAAAACTTTTTTGATTTTGGGGTCAATTTCAAACAAAAAAAATTGGAAAAATTGGTAAAAACACCTGAATTTCACAGGTTATAGGTGACACCAGGAACACTACCGTACTAAGAGTACTATAGTTTGGGCAATTATTCAGATTTTTTTCATCACTGTAATCAATAAAATCAATATTAATCATATGTATATATCATAATTTGTATTAATTATTCTGCTCTTTATGGGCGTCGAGATTGACAAATAATTCTTATTATGGAACTTGAAAGGTCATTCGTCAAAAGTTTCAACTCAGACAACTGAAGGGACGTATTGGAACTCAGGTGGCCTGTAAATATAAATAAAGGTGTTACCTGAGGTCCCTCTAAAAGGCGCACTTGAGCATCTCTCTTCCGTTCTATAATTCTTTGTCGTCTCAATGCCTCGTTATGATATGCAGACTCTGCCATTATGTTATTCTGCTCCCAAATGAGTGTATGAACGATATAGTGGCTTCTAGTGTTGTCAAAGAAACGCACATGCGCGACAATTCATTCCCCATCAGAAGCTGCTTCAATATTTTCATTGTTTATGGCTATCTTTCAAACGCTACTAAAACCATGATTTATACTGGGTAGCATAAATTGTTTGTCTGATCCAAACTCGGCTATGCAAAATTAAAACCAGTATTTTTTAAAGAATACGGAAAAAAGAAATGACAAAATTTATGCGAAAACCAAATGGATTTGAAATTATACGGGACCTAGTGGTACACATGTAAAAGAACGGGATAAATATTTGTATATAAGTTAGTCTCTGGCGCTCCTAACCTTGAAATCAAAAGAGGGAGATATAGTAATATTGCTAGAAATGAAAGATTTTGTAGAATAAGAATAAGAATAAGAATATTTATTATTCCAATCAAGGGCCCTTGATGGGCAGCAAGACATGTACACATAAAAACAATACATCATGATTTGTAACAGAAAAACTTTTTTTTATGCATTGAAATGAAACATTAAAAAGTTCAGACAGATGTTATATTATCTCCATTCTATATAAATCACATATATTTAATTCCAGGCAGGACTAGAACTATAAAATCATTACAATTATCATTGTTATTACTTACATTAATTTAAATTTTTTTCTTACATCTAGACATGTAATAATATAGTTCCCTAAATATTTAAGTACAGACAAATTTTCATTAGTAAATAACCAAACAATTTTTGCCTCATTTGAGAGATATGAAATGAAATAGGCCTATAGAATATGTATGCAAAATAAAATTGAGACGAATTGCCAAAATTACAAAAGGTAAAGAGAAACCCACAGTGCCTGCGGAGAAACCCATGAAACAAACTTTCCACAAATTTATTTAAAATTTAAAACTATCAAATTCGTTTAATAGTAAGTACAGTGAATAAGTAGGTAATTGAAAAAAAAATCAATTTTAAATTTGTTGAATATACTAGTATTGCCAATCTGGAACTATTATACCAGAGCTATATATGTGTGTATATATGTATCTGATTATACTATAAACCAGTATGCGGACAATAACTCAAAAGTGCTTTGAACAGTTTTCATTAAACTGTGGTGACTGCTTTATATCTATTCAAATAATCTCTCTCAGTTGTTTTTTTTGTAGTTTTTTTTATAAATTTTGGTATGACATTGATGAGTTATTATAGATCTTTATTCTTTGAAGAAGAGACGGGTGTATCATGTACTCATGGCGCAGCTCTTTATTATACTAACAATATATTATGTCCCAGTGCCAATTAAGTCCCTCCATACATTAGTCAACATGTTTGAAAAAGGGAACAACTCGACGAGAATAGGAGTAAAGGTTGTTCTTATCAAATGCCGACTGTCTGTCGATCGTGCATGACCCTCATGGGTAGCCAAAGTCGTTAAACACACCCGTAGTAGTAGTAATACTCGATATCTAGACATATGTATACAAAAGTTCTCTTGTAATACCTCATCAGTAAAGAGGTTATGGATGAGCTATCATCAGTAAAGAGGTTATGGCTGAGGGGTCCTTTATTCTTTAATTTTTGTAGGCCATTTTTTCTTTATTTATTTTACCCATTATTCTCTATTCTTTTTATTTTAGCGCCCCTTTATATATTCACTATTCTTATGATTTTTTAGGCCTATTTTTCGTAAGTTCTTTATTTTTTCCCTTTATTCTCTATTCTGTAAACCCCATCCAGATAATGATGAAATCCTTTGAACGGAGGATCAGTTTAATCAATAAAAGAAATAATTATGACAAAATATTTCTTAGAATAAGATGATATTTTTACTCAATGTACAAGCCAGGGCTTTGTTTCGTCATTACAAACAAATGATAAGTATTCATAAGGTCTAACCAGAGACATATAATATAATACAACTGTATTATATGTCTCTGTGGTCTGACCATTCAGCTAGATGTATGCCTGATTGAGAGAATAAACACATCGAAACTATCAACTGGCATTTTAAACAAAACTAATGGTGTATTAATTACATGTGTTTTCAATTACAGACCTCCTAGGATTGTAGCGATGACCTTATAATATTATGCTTGACAATGGCATACCCCAATACGACAATTGTATGCTGATTGGAGACATACATTACGTTCTTTTCCGCCAGATTAGAGTACGCACATTAGTATAGTTATAACCGATTTATTTGCTTTGTTGAATCTTATAAAGACCTACATGTTTCATGAAAAAAATAGACAAATCCTCATGTAGACGTGATTTTAACTAACTCGTAATTCTGCCCTTTTAACTTGTTTGATTTGAGCGTCGCTGATGAGTCTTTTATTGACGAAACACGTCTGGCGTACACAGTTTGAATCCTGGTATCTATGATGGGTTTATTCACTATTTATGAAGACTCTAAATTTTCCTTCTGGAATAAGTGACTATCATACTATACAGTCACGGTTATCAATATACAATAATACAATCCCAGTACACGAAAAGCAAACATTTTTAAAAATACAAAAGTTTTAAAGATTTGACTGTTGAAGAACTAAATCAAGATTTATAAAATATAGACATTAGATGTACTGGATATGATAATATAATCAATGAGGTTTATCAATAATTTGAGTCAGATGTTATCATAACACCTTTGATAAATATATTCCATTGATAAACTTTTGACACAGAGATATACCTCGCCTTCATGTTAATTTGATAGTACATGTATAATGCAAATGCCGAAATTAAATGGCAACACTTTAACATGTAAACTATGCAGAACATTCAAAGTCAATGAACCATGATTAGACCATGCACATAACCAAAGTGGAAACGGTACTGAAATACCGTAAACTATGAAGAAGTTTCAAAATCAATCGACCATCATGAGGGGGCAGGTCATATATAGTATCTCCATGGAAATGAGACGTGCAAATTGCAACCAAATATCACTGACTTAACTTTTGTTGTTTATCTTAAACTGACATAATCACAAACTTTAACATGTAAACTAAGTAAAGTTCCTATACAATTTCAAACCAAATACCAGTGACTTATCATAAGTGGTTCCCTTAAAAATTGACCTAAACACAAACTTTTACATGCCGGTAAACCATGAAGAAGTTTCAAAATCAATAGACCATCATGAGGGGGCAGGTCATAGAATCTCCATGGAAATGAGACGTGCACATTACAACCAAATATCACTGACTTAACTTTTGTTGTTTATCTTAAACTGACATAATCGCAAACTTTAACATATTAACTAAGCAAAGTTTCAAAGTCAATATACCATGACTGATATAATTTCGAAATGAGGTGTGCCAATACTTATGCAACTGCATACCAAGTATCATTGATCACTAGGTTCCCCTTGAACTGACCTAATCACAAAGTTTAACATATGCATTGTTGAAGCCGCTGCCGTCACCGACATCCGCAGAAACAGCACGCCTAAGTCTAGCTTTTTCGACTTCGTCGAGGCGAGACAAAAACTCTGTAAAAAACACAAATCAATAGAGAATTAATCAATGCTATCTATGAAAAGGAAATGTATTCCTCCAAATATCTGCAAATTAAATAAAAATAACAAATCATGGTAGAAAAAAGGAGAAATTTGATAAATTTGTAAAGAAAATCAGAGAAAATGAATTTCAAGGAAGAGGCACATGTGCAATCAAAGTGCAAGATAATAATATTATTGTGTCACAAAATGAAGAGCTTTTTTATTCATGTTTTGTAAATGTTGTAAAAGATCTTGGTAAAGTTTTCTTTTTGCTGAGAGTAATTATCTTAGTTTGAAGAAAATCGATTAGGACAACACTATGAACAAAAAAGAACGAAAAGAAACGAAGAAAAAGACAAACAAACAATGAATTCTCCCAAAACATTGCACACGAAAATTGAATATTCAGCAACACAAAACTCTACTAAAGACTGACCATGGCGTGGAGGGGTAAAAACTCCTGTTCTATAATGGAATCGTATTGTTACTCATGACATGCAAAATTGTAAGTATCTAGATGGGATAATATGGGGAGATGTTTCATTGAACATTTTGCAGACCAAGTAATATAAGGTTGAATGCAATATAAACGTATTATACCGATTGTAGTACTCAAGAAACAGGCGCGGATCCAACCATTTTGAAACGAAAAGGGGGGTTCCAAACTCCGGCACACGATGAAACAATCATATGATAAAAAAAAATCGAAAAGGGGGGGGGGGGGGGTCCAACCCCCGGAACACCCCTGGATCCGCCAATGAGAAATGTGTTTCTGGAATGATATTCGTCAGGTATATATAGATTAGTTTACACTCGAGGACAAATGTTTGAGAAGTCAACTACATAAAACGTTTGTGGGCATCAACACTGAAAGTCACACATTGTTGTCAATATAATGGAATTCTATGCGACTGTCATATAAGTGAGAGGTTAAGCTAGCTATAAAACCAGGTTTAATCCACCATTTTCTACATAAGGAAATGCCTGTACCATGTCAGGAATATGTTAGTTGTTTTACATTCGTTTGATGTGTTTGAGCTTTTGATTTTACCATTTTATAAAGAACTTTCCATTTTGAATTTCCCTTGGAGTTCGGTATTTTTGTTATTTTACTTTTTCGTTAACAGATCCGCTTAAAATAGACGGTATTTAGTAAGATTATGAAAATAAACTTAATTCCTAAGGTAAGGTAAACGACTATTTTGGCTTCATTTTCATCCGCGCTTTGAGATATTTTTGGAGTTTTAGACCTGGACTGGGTTCCAACCCCATGCAGATGATTCATTGTTCTTTCCTTTGAAGTGATTTATGAGTTTGATTCTTAGAGAGGGAAAACAACCAGTTGACATTTACAGAGGGAACACGTGCCTCAAATCATACCCATACCGAAGCACTGATAAGTAAGTGGATTGGAGGAGGATCCAGGGGTCGACTTAATTTGTGTTTTAAGAAAAAATTTAACTACCGGGCCTCCTTTATGAAAATGTTGGACGGGATCTGCGTCTGTTGATGGTATATTTGTGTATTATGGGTCCTGATTATTCACCAGCAGCGGAACCCA